GTTCGTAGTTTCCAAGGATACCTCTAAAACTTTTGACGAGTCGAAAATTTCTCGTCCTCATTGTATAACTTTTAATTTTTTATATACTTTTCTTAAATTTTAAAGTTTCTGAATTTCAGTTTATCGACAAGGAATTCTATATTTATGTCGCATATATGTACATATTGACTAGTGTATTTTTTCCCTTTATTTACTGATGCTACTTCTAAGATTCTAGACATCATTTTGCTGCATGTAGAATTAGATTTGTCTGCAATTTTTTCATAGATATCATCTTGATGAATCAGAAGTTTTTAATATTATTAATTCTTAGCAGTTGGTTAAAATTACCTAAAATCCTTACTCAGGTTGAACTTGTAAAACTTTTTTCATAACATATTAAACACAAAGAGTTCTGAATAGATTGTTGTATATGATGAAGAATCCAAATGAAAGAAGTGTTATGAAAAATTTTACAGAACATTTCATTCCTTGCGTCAATTATAATACTTTCATATAATTTAAATGCACGTCGTACATACTTTATTTTTCTTTCGTTACAGCAAGCACATAGTTCTTGACGAGGTCTCCTTATTATATTGTATTAAAATTAAATTTATCATGTTCAGGAGTGTTGAAAATACTTTAAGTACATTATTTTTTTTATCAGGGATAATTATCTAAGCGATTGTGTTTTCATAATAACGATTGTTGTAATCAAATTATTTAAGAAATCTCACGTCTGTTATGTTTCCCAAAGATGAATAATAATCTATACTTATCTTATTCATTTCAAAATGATTTAAAGAGAAATAAAAAAGTGATTTGTTTCTGAAGAAAGTAGTTATCAGAACGAGGCAGAGAAAAATATAAATAGCACATTTTAAATATTGTCTCTTATTACGTATGTATATTATTTGGCGAAAAAAAAAATTACGATTTTGTAGTAAAGTTTTTATATACATATGTTGTATCGTGTTTTTAAATACATACAAAGATAATATCATTGCTTTTATTATATTTTTACTATTTCTTTAATCTAAAGGAAGTTAAGTACTGCTATTAAAATTACTATGTCTATTAATATAATCCTATAAATTGTGAATTTTGTTTCATGCTATATCCTTTATTTCAATTTTAATCCAAAAATTATAATATATTTTTGTACGTTCCTTATCTTGTAACTAATTTCAACAAAAGGATCGTAACGAATGTTCTTTGAATCATTTATATTGATATTCCATTATTTATAACTTTTCAATATTGCTATTTTATTCTAAATAACTGTCTTATACGTAATAGCATCCTCCCGTTAAATAATTTTCGTATTATTCCATCGCTTGACACCTCCACAATAGAAGACTGTTATTCTTATTTTCTGATACTCTGCTTGTAAGAAAATAAATAAAAATATAAATTATTTTTTTACTTTCACCAATATTTCTTTTCAAGAATTGTATGCTCTTGTTTAACGTTTTGGGGACTTTTTATTTTATGCTTAACGTATTATTTATGATCTTAGGATACTTTTCTTGATTTGTTCAGAACACTTTAAGATGTGATTATAACGTCCAATCATGAAAATCTTTTATTTGTATATCATAATTGTAAACATTCCTTTAGTTTTATGTACACAGAATGTATTTATGTAGAATTGGTTTTGTATTCACATATCGGGAGACTTCGTTCGTATGTCTTACAATATTTTAGCATGTATGGAAAAATGCAGATGAAGACTTTTATTGCGTTATTTCTATAAATATGTCTCTTTTCTTACATATTCACGACAGCAAAAAAAGAAGACAAATATATTGTTTGTTAGGAAATGCGAAATCTCATTATCATCACCAGAATTGAGATACGAGTATATCGCGACATTGTCTTTTTAAAGCTTCAATATTCGCGTAGCACGTCCGAAAATTATTGTTCGGTTCGATGTGGAGCTATGTATAATCATGTTTGACAGAGTTATTATATAGATTCGCGTGAGACACCTTTTACCTGTAAAATTTATCAATACACCGAAAATGTTAATATCACCTTGATCAAAAAAGAGATAAGTGTTTAATTCATCAAAATATAGAAATTTATTTTGTTAAGTCTTGTATTCTGTATTTTTTTTAAAATATCCCTTTTTAACTCTACCTAGTTTCAGTTTATATATTATACTTTTTTAGAATTAATCTGTAATTTCAACTGTTATATCACCTTTAAAACAAAATTCATATTTTAACAACGTTTTGAAAGACATTATGAACTTTGTTGACTATCGTTTAAAAGTTTGGTATCATTATGCTAAACAGTGGATCCGCATTATTACCAATTTAAGAAGAAAATTTTAAAGAAAAAACAAAAAAGTCCACCATCGAAACAATAAATACCTATATTTTAAACATTATCCCAAATTATGTATTCAATGTATCAATGAGAGACACGTGAGGCCAGATGAAAAATAGACGTTTCTTATATTTACTTGTAATTATCTTGTTCTCGAATGTTGTTAGGTATGAAGCTATCTTTTTAAATATTTGATATCTTATTTCAAAATAAAATCAAATGTTCTGTTGTTATATTGCTCAATCCGCAGTTTTTATAGTCTCTTTGTGGCAGTAAGAAATTCTATTAATCTTTTTGGGACTCACCGAAACGAGGAAAGTTTTGTTCGCGTTCGGTTATTATTCCATTACTGTTATTACTTCGTTTTTCAAACTTCCTACGTTCTGATTTTATTTAATTGATTCTTAAACTAAAAATAAGGTTTAATTTTCGATAAAATCTATATATATAAAAGAAAGTCGTGTTAGTTACTCCACTTATAACTCAAGAACGGATGACCGATTTAGCTGAAAATTGGCAGGGAGGTAGTTTAGAGCCAGGAAATTGCAATAGGATACTTTTTATCCCGTTCGACAGCATTCCCGTGGGACTTGACATGAAACGTCAGTCACTATAAAACGTGAAATAACGAAACACAATTGACAGCTATGCAATTAACTTACGAGTATAATGACAGATATGTAATGACGTATGTATGAAAATTTGATATTTCTAAGAAATCTACATATAAAAATAAGTCCGGTTTTCCACTCCGACGCTATAACTCTAGAACGAACGAACCAATTTCCACGGTTTTGCATTCGTTGGAAAGGTCTCGGGCTCCGTGAGGTTAATAAAAAAATATTACACCAGAAAAGCGGGAAAATCTTTTTTCACATACAGCGCCATCATACATAACATATACTACAATTTGCAAATCAATATTTTAAGTAGACGGCGCCGGTGCATGATACATTGTTTGACAGCTACTCATTGTTCTCTGCTCAGTTAATTTCATGTGACAAACCGGTATTGTGTTTGTAGTTTGAACTCTTAAAACCATTTAGTATTTGCGGGATAAAATTTAGAAAATCATTGTTTTTCACATGGGCGTTATATTTAGCGTGTTCACGAGTTTCGAAACCATCCGCTTTATTTGTGTTAAAGTTAGACCAAAAAACAAAAAATGTGGTTTACAAAGGACCACTTCAATGAAACGGATAATAATTTGCGGACACGTATAACGCTTCGATTCGGTATCTACTTTGCATTCACTTTCATTTACTTCGAGAAGTTCAACTAAATAACACTTCATTTTTGTAATCGAAATGAATTCATTACTGTTGTGAAATAAAATAAAAATTTTCGTTTTCAAATATAAAACAAAAAAATACTTCATCTTTTAATCACCAAACGAAATCTTATATAAAAGCCTTCTAAAGGCGAAACGGAGTTCGCCGGGTTTCCTAGTTATATATAAACTTTAATTTGGCGCCAATTATTATTTCATACTTTGTAAATATTAACGGTAAGCAACAAGGCATTACAATTCAGAAGGAAACTATGAAAATGATTCATTCTTTAAATTTAATTAAAAGTACTTACAAGTTCAACATGAATAAATCAGAAAAAAAATCTTAAGAAATACAAAACCAAATGCTGTTCACACCAATTATTTTATACATATTACAATTTCAAAAAGATACCACTTCATTAAACATAACAATATTTAATGACTTAACAAAAAATATATTAGACATTTATCTCGTTGGTTTTTGTTATTCTTTATACCTTTTAACAACCCAAAAAATTCAATAAATAATCTAAATGGATAAGCTAAGAAAAGAATTTAACAAATATATACAGCAAATTTTTCACACACCCATTTTCTTGTTCGGTAAACAAAAAGATGGTGAGGCTAATTTCAATTCAACCGTTAAAAATAAGGATTTTTTCAATGCTCTGTTTGAAATCTCTCTAGAGAGTGCTATACCCTTTCTTTTTTGGATCTTAATAGTTCTAGAGAGACGATACAATAAAAAGGGTTGTTAGATCTACAAGTGAAGATGCTTTTAAAAATAATTAATGCATGGTGATGGGATTGATAAAACCTAAGTTATCCGCCATTTTGTAGAGGCCACCATCTTGGATTTTAATTTTATATAGTACATTGTATTCTACTGGTTCAGCACTTTTATTTGATACCCAATACCCATATTGATGGGATTGATAAAACCTACGTTATCCGCCATTTTGTAGCGGCCGCCATCTTGGATTTCAATTTTTTATAGTACATTGTATTCTACTAGTTGAGCACTTTCAATTGATACCCATATTGATGGGATTGGTAAAACATAAATTATCCGTCATTTTGTAGCGGCGGCCATCTTGAATTTATAATGATAATGAATAAACATAATTATTGTATTGTCACCACAATCCAAAGTGTATACAACATTTCAGATTAATCGGTTGACAGAAAGAGGGTGAAATTTGAATTACTAATTTTGACCAGAGAAAAATGAAAAAGAATAAATAAAACAAACAGGGTGAGCTAAATAAAACCGTTTAATAACGTTTATGAATTGTAGCAATATATTAAAATACTAAAAGGTTAAACCCTATCAGATCATAAAGTTTTTGGACAACAGTGAAATCCCATAGTATAAAATAGGATAGGAAATATATATATATATATGGTTATATTACCGTCTGTGCATTCTCTGCTGGCTGGCCTGCCTCAGCTTGGCCCCCTTGTCCCTGGAGGCGGCCACCAGCGCCGCCCAGGTCGTCTGCAGAGCCTGCAGTCTGGACGACACCTCCTCAGCATGACCTGGGTCTGACTTCTGGAGCGAGAGACCGATCTGGAACATTATGTACATATGATGAGTATTGATAAGAATTGACATATAGGAATCTCCCAGTATATACTATATAGTCTACTACTGTACTATCTAGTAGATATACATATATATAAATTAGATGAATTTAAAATTAATTGAATAACCTTGTACAACTAAAAATGAAGCCAAATATTTTTTACATCCCTTATTGGACCCTTTTATATCAATAGCTTGGTTATCAATAGAAATTTAGAGACGTTGTTCTTGCAAGACTAATGAATAATTATTAATTACATATTTTTCAGCCTTCATTGTCGTTACAAGCTTATGTAATCTATCTGTATGTCCAAGTTCTTCTTCTTCTACCTGACAATTTCCCAGTTTTAGCCAGGGTCTGCCTTACATGTTGTGAATAGTTTTGGTTAATTGTTTTTATGACCGGCCGCCTGCCTGTCATCAACCCTCTTTGGGAATGCAATAATCAGTGATGTTTAAATACTCTGTATGTCCAAGGTGTACACACATTTATGTTATAAGACAATTACTCTTTTTTATAATCTCTATTGTAACTATAAGTCAAAGTCATCTTTCCATTTATAAGGTCTAGAGTGTGTTATATATTATGTGACCCTGACCTCTGCCCCTTGCTCCTGTGCCTCATGGCTACCAGGTCGCGGGCCCGTAGCTCGTGCAGCAGCGCGGTGTGTTTCTGTCTCAGCGCCATCACGGCCCGCAGATCCTTGGCCGCGACCTCCGCCCGGCAGATGCGCTGCTTCTCTATCACCCAGCCTGAAATAAAAGTATAAAGATTTATTCGGTTTATGCAGCTTCTTTACCAATATATTTGTATAATTAATTATTTATTGGTTTTCATTTATTTGAAGTATTTATACATATTTATTTCGACACAGCGTTAGAATTTATTCATTTCATTACTTTTATTCAGCTTCACTGCCATTATATTTTCTTTATTTTTGTCGGTTTTTATTTGTTCCAAGTATTTTTATTTTGAATATATAGTGCTTGATTGTCCACCTGTACGAAGGTAGGAAAGAATTCGTGGGCGAATACACTATCCCAGTATCAATCATATATGTGGTATATTATATAAAACTTATTACGTCACTTAGTATGTATGTTGATCCCAGTTTTTGTATATCATTACTCCAAAACATATAGACGTTTCATTTATAAGTATAGTGCGTTTGATTTAAGCTGAGCTTTGCATATTTTGTGTGAGTGTACACAGATAGTGTAGGTGTGATGTCAATTTTTTGAACGCCACGTTCTTTTCTAGTTTTGAACTGGTTTATTCTGCTTTTACTTCGCAAGAAAAATTTGTATTGTTTTTCGAAATTTTTACTACTTAATAAAAATTTTTCCACGATATTTCCATTTGGCCTTTTACAAGTTTTGCTTATTTAATTTTTAATCTAGAATAGATCAAACACTTATGTTATGAATCTATTTAAAATATAATACAATTCTAAAAGTTTTTTGTCTAACTGTACTTTTACTTTCACTCACACAAATGCAAAGCTCAGCTTAAGTCTAACGGACTTTAATATTATATATAAGTCTTTACATTCGGATGTCATCTTCATGAGCCACTCACCTTCTTCCTCCTCGTGATCTTCGAGGAACTGGTACAGGTTCCTTGCATCCTCGAGCCTCGCCGTGCGGTCCTTAGCGGCTGCGACCAGGCTGGAATTGAGAACATACATATACATTTAGTTATACATACAAAGATATGTATGTATATATACACATTTTAGATGACGAAAAGGCTTATGGGACATAAATAATTCGACTTTACTTGACATATCTATATATAATCGTCTACACATATAATAATTTAAATATTTGTCTATGGCAGCGGGTTGCGTCCCGCGTGCCGTCTTTCTTTTAATTAATCAATTAGTGTGCAAGTGATTTGCTTATTTGAATGACGTTCCTGTCACTCCAAACAATACTTAACACTATATATATTTAAAAGCTGACTCTAAACAAAGTAAGACTTGAACTAGTAAGACTCAAACTATATTTGAAAAAACAAAGAGATTTAGATCACAACTAACTTGACTTTGATTTGTTAATATCTACATATACAATGTTATACAAATATATACCCGGTGTAATCATCAGCCAGTGAGTCCTGGGCGGCAGAGGAGTGGTCTCCCGCGCCCTCCTCGCCTGCAGCAGACGCTCTACATCCACCAGTTGTCTGTCCACCTCCTCGGATTGGAATTGAGCCTGGAAAATATTAAGTTATATAGAAATGAAACCTCTCATCATTCCATGTATTCACGGTGCAGGTGTCGGGACCATCGTTATAGTGAGAGGAGCTTCAACAGTGACTGGGACTTGCGACCCAGGTGTAGGTTTAAGGGTTTTTTTTTTAAGTTTACAAAACTTACTTACAACTAATGCATACAAAATAAAATCTAAGCTAAACAGAGTGTCATTAAGTTGCAGTCTTCTGGATGTAAACCTAGCATGCTTTAAGAAACATATACCTTGCCACTCTGAGCAGCGCCATCATCTGTGCCAGGGGAGCCAGCGCCGCCCGGTGTCTCTCCAACAGAGCCAGTAGTTCCCTCCACCTGCCCAGCACCGCTTGTTCTGTGTGAGAGATGCTCTCCTCTGCGTGGTACTTCTCCTTCACCAGTTCTGCAGTCATAGCGGATAGATCTTCGAATCGCTCGGTTCTATAAAGATAATAATATTATATATTAATGATACTTGTATGTATGTATTGGTGATATGCAAAACAATATTATTTTATTTGTTTTATATAAACAGTGGAATACATTGTTAAGTCTTATCTATCTTCTACCTGGCCATTTCCCAGCTTTGGCCAGGGTCTGCCTGCCCAATCTTATCTATTTATGTATACAAATATGTATGTATAATATAAAAGAAGTCGTAGATGTTTTGACAACCTTGAATATGGGAGACAGAGGGAAGGATGTGGAAAGGAAAGGGCTACCATCTCTCTCACTCATCGGATGAAACGCAGTCATTAAAGACTACTTCACGCCAATCTTTTGTGAGAGGATGGTACTTCACCGGTCAAGCCAGCACATGTTTGAACTGTAGTAACTTTACCACAGCTATGCTCTACTACTCAGGAACTACTACTCTACTACTTTGTTGACAATTTTTTAGCTCATTCCAATAAGTAAAGAGTTCAGACGATAGTTTACTAGATAGCGTGTAACACTAACATAAATATATCCATAAAACTGCATGTATAATATGTATGTGCTACATTCACCTGGCGAGTATATCAACTGATATAGCTTCATGTTTCTTGACTATAGCGTCAACCTGCGCCACGTTGGACCTGTAGCGAGGGTCGGACAACACTTGGATCATCTCCTTTAGGTACCCCTTACGGAGAACAGACTGAAACACGGAGAAGGCAACTTGAGAAAAATTATACATATATATATATATATATATATACACCAGCTGCGCCCCGCGGTGATACCCGCGGATTTCTAGGATTTCCGGGATGTAAAATAGATGATATTTTATCCAGTGGTGGCCTAGTGGTTAAAATGCCCGTCTCTCATGCATGAGGGCGCTGGTTCGATCCTGGCCCGGGCAAGTACCAATGTGATTTTTCCGAGTCTATTTAGACTACTTTCTAAGACTATTTAGACATCACTGATTAATGTTGATTCCCAAAAGAGGGTTGATGTCAGGCAGGCGGCCGGTCGTAAAAACAAATAGCCAAAACTATTCACAACATGTAAGGCAGACCCTGGCTATAGCTGCGAAATTGCCAGGTAGAAGAAGAAGAACAAAGGTCCATAGATCAGTTTTTAGTAGTAATAATATAATAAATATGTATGTATGACCTGTTCCAGCTGTTGCTACGCTCGCTGCAGGTCTTGAGGGCTCCCCTACTAAACTCTTCTGCATCGTGTTGATGTCAAAGTACAACGCTTCGATTTCAGAACGTTCCTTTACCTGGTATTCTCATGTATTAAATAAAATAATAAATAATATATCATTTATATGAGAAACGAGAAGTGATATGTTTTTTATGGTAATATATATAATTATATTGAAATTGGATAAACCTAAGATCATAAATAATATTATAATCAATAATATTACTGAATTAGTCCCAGAAACGTAAATTCGGGTAGAAAATAAATATTTTAGTATTATATATATCGGCGCTATCAGCTTTAATAACGGATGCGACATGAAAATAATTTGAGGCCGTCATCAATTCTTATTAAACCTCATTAGTATTTATGATTATTGTTAAAAGTAAAACGAAATCAAAGGAGAATAGAACTATGTTTGAATCTTGTTATAAATATGACGTCTGGACGCCCGACGGCGGACTCCAGATTTGAGAATTCAGAATTGATAATTCAGAGTTCAGTAAGTGTGTATCATTGAAGTATGTTATTATGAAGAATCTTCTTGAAATACAGGAGCATTAAGAACAATTGCAGTTTCATTTTAAAATACCGTGAAACGCTCTAGAAGAAGTGACATTTGTAACGTCAGCGAGGCTGGCGTCTCTCTGTTTTAAAACAACGAATTTGTAATAAATCCGATATATACTAAATGTCATTTTATTATTTTAACTACATCCTACCGACGTTTCGGTTACATTTCAGCAACCGTGATCATTAAGACGAGATGTGAATGTCTGACAATAATAAAAATACGCATAGTAATACTAAAATATTACATAGTTTCATTAAAATGAATATTCGTTAAAACCTTGTTATTTGGGAAATATAAGGCTACTACTTATAGGTGGTAGAGTCTTGCTGTGGTCAAGTAATTGCAGCTCGAAGATGGGCTGACTCGACCGTGGAAGTACCACCCTCTCACAGAAGATCGGTGTGAAATAGCCTTAGTGGCTGCGTTTCGTTCGATGAGTGAGAGAGCCGGTTGACCTTTCCCTTTTCCCATCCTTTCCTACCCCTTCCCTTTTCCTCGCGGATGTCCATGGGCGACGGTACTACCTCCGTCGTGTAGGCCGTCTGCTCGGTTGCCCCCTTTAATATAAAAAAAAAATACTAGAAGACCCGGTGAACTTCGTATCGTCCTATAATCAAGAAATATATGTGCTTTTTTTTTGTTTATATTTTTGGAGTTTACCTATTAAAGCCATAAATATCCGTGTTTGGAAGTGCGACCGAATGATTGACATATTAGTTAGTTGTCAAATCTAATGTCGAAAAAAAACATTTGTAAAAAAACAACTACTAATAAATTAAAAATTAATCAAAAAAACATTGTCCAGCGGACAAAATTGTAAATCTAAACCATTCCGAGATCCCCTTGAACACACACAAAAAAATTCATCAAAATCGGTCCAGTCGCTTGAGAGAAGTTCAGTGACATACACACTCACAGAAGAATTATATAAAGATATATCTCTTACATATATATTTGCCTATGGTTGTCTATCTTTATTTTAATTAATCTATTAGTGTGACTTGACCTTGGTACTTAACAATATCTTGTTCACTATATTTTTTCTGTATATTCATCATATAATCTATCTTCAGGCGGATCCAGTCGAGCAGCGCGCTCACCAGGCGGCTGTACTCCGCCTTGCGACCGTCGTAGTCCATCAGCTGGCCGATGATCTGGAACATATGAAGACCATTATATATGTAGAATAATGTAATATACGAAAAATGTGCTATGTATGGAACTATAGACACGAGTCATAAGTTTTCATTATGATAAATATGTTAAATAATTTTGTATAAGTAATTTTTCTTAATTTCTGTACTGTTCTTCTTAATCTGTACTTAATTTTGAATCTTGTGATAATAGTGATATGACATCTTTCCATTCGTTGTAATGAATTGTAAATATAATTGTGTTTATCCAACATATCTATATGTGTGTGTATGCATGCTTGTTTTATGTATGTATGTGGGTATATATGTATGTGTGTGTGTGTTTGTGTGTATACGCACATTGGCGATCCTGCAGCCGCTCTTCTGATCGTTCTTCATCCTGGCGAAGGTGTGGTAGTAGCTGGCCACGTACGTTATCACGGAACGCTCATCGGGACGGGTCGTGTCAACATCTGAACATAAAGAACAATCATGCATTCTAAACATAGTTTAATCCGTTCCATGTATCCTTCATAATCTTTAATACATTTTATAATGTCTTTTAAGCTATAACAATTTCCTAGCCTAATTTTAATAATAGTTCATTTTATACGATTTTTTGACTACGTTATTGGATTACTCGTTTTATATGCATAATTGTAGGTAAAGAAAGGATTATATTGTGTAGTTTTAATATACTGGTATAGTTTAAGACACATCTGGAAAAAGTTTGAAAGGTGATGAAGGGTTGGCGATATTGGCGTTCCCAAGACCTAAGTATAAGCTTATATATTTATACAATCCTCCCCACCCATCGAAAAAATTAAATCCATGCTTTTAGCATCAACAATGTGCCCCTATTACTCACTGAGCAGCGTTTACAATATTTGTAGTAAGCAACTAAAACTATTTATCCTTTTCCGGATCGTTAACTTTCCGATTTAGACCATTAGCTATATGTTGTAATATTATCTCTAAATCCAAGGTTCTAAAATAAGTACACACTTTGATGAATTATATGTTATATTACTTTAGAAATAAGACTCAATTCTGTTCAGTAAATTGTCAGCGTTTTATAATTCTCATTAAGCAAAAGTCTTTTAGTCAATATTGTTGAAATTCGATGCCAGAAGTCAAATTTCAACAACAAACAAAATTCTTTGAACTTTAATTGATCATTCACTCTACGCGTATAGTTCTATGAGAAGAATTTTTAAAGCAATTTGTTGAAATATATTAAAAGCAGATTCAAAACGGTAAAATGTAAAAGAAAAAAGTTTCTGATTGAATTGGTAAATTTAGTTTTTTGATTTCTTAGTAGTCTTCTATGAAGACCATTTAGGATGAACCCAAAATAAGTTTGCGTCATGAGACTTCATACTATTGTAACGTAATATTTTAAAAAATATTAAAACTTCTTTTAGTAACTGTCTTTTAGGTATTTTATGAAATTAATTCCCATATCACAAATTTTTCAATTAAATTAATTAAAGTATTAGAATTCTAATTTTTATTTTAATGACTTTCGGATACTTTTATACAGCAGGGTAAAGATCTATGACAATTATTTGTATACATATATACCACAGACTTTATCAATTCAAATTCCTAATAGCTAGAATACATATTCATTAATACATTAAATATTACTTACGAATATTAAGTTCTCTTTGAAATATCTACAATATCATGGCCACTTTACGTCTCTCTAGACCAGTCGTTGAGAACTGACTGACTATTGCAATAAACACATCTTATAAAATGACAGTCGTTTTTAACTACCTTCTTGTAAGTTTTAAATAAATTTGCTATATGCCAGTCCATTTGTAATTTAACATTATTTTTATAAAATATTTTACTGTTAAGGCTTAGTAAATCAACACCTAAGTCTATATTAAACTTGTTTGACGTAATCCAGCCGGAATAAGCAGATCAAGGAATAACTTATAACCTAGCTTTAATGTCCATCTATATTGCAGTCAGAATAAAAGAAAAAGAGGTTATTTTTTAAGGAAACATTATAATGTTGATTTAATTTCAATAAATAAAATGAACTGAAAATACATTTGAATATTGAATGATTTTAATGAATTTTATTAAATATAAGACCAGACGTATGTTCGATAATTAAGACAATTACCAAGAACAGAAAATATCAAAAGGTTCTATGACAAAGGTAATGGTTGCTATGAAACATTACCCTTACATTAATATCAATTACGATAACAGACATTTTTTATATGATTTTTTTTTATACATTTTTTGTTCATTCCCATTACATAGCAACATACAACATACAAATTTTATTTTTATTTCACAAAATATGTCAAATCCAAACAATAAACAGTACGTTATTTATAAAATCTTGTATGTTCTATACTATCATATGTTTATGCAATTTGCTACGAAATACCTAATACTTATATATAATTTAATATCCATACTCATAAAACTATTCTGACTAATTTGTTTTTTATACTCATATTTTTATTGAATCTTTATAAAAATTACATAAATGAATATTTACGACCAGATCGTAGTTAATTACAATATACTGCTTGTCGCTTTGTTCATATATAATAACAGTGACACGCAATTTTAATACAATTATAAAAATACTTTAATTTTATTCATTGTTATATGTATTGTCAAAGAAAATAATTTAAAATTATTACAAAAATAATAGATTTTTAATTATAACAATGCTCCGAAAATGTGGTAGTAATAAAGGTTACTGAACAATCGTAAAGTTTAAGCAAATATTTCAAGCAACTATTTCAAGCCTAATTCACACAGTAAAATTTCAAGTTTAACCTGGACAAGAACATAAGAGCAAACGATATCTCTATAAAGACAAATATTGAACTATAATATGTGACTTGTTGGTTTTGTAACAACCCAAGACAGGGATTCACTAAGATTGGGCTTCAGTAAAGATAAACGTTTATGTGTAATTTTGTTTTGAAAAATACTCAAGTCTTTATTAAATTTGATCTCAACCAAAATTAATCTGAAATAACCGAAACTATCAAGATTAATAAATGTTCAATAAAACCATATGAAAATACTGTTGAATTGGATACGGCTTCATTACCTAATTTTGATTATTATCTCAATTCTTTGGAGGTTGCAAAATCATATCCTGCTGGTATCGATGAATTTTCCACTGTATATTTTCCGCTGAAATTTTATTTCAAATATTAATTTAATACTGCTCGATGTTAAAAATATAATAATAAGCGTATTATTTAATCTTTCCTATTTATTTATTCAGGTCACAGCGAACCACAGTTATAAAACTCGTGAATTTTATGCTCGTTAGAGTTGGGTGGCCGATAATGACTGATGTTAACTGAAGTGCATTAACCAATTGTGTGATACTCATATTTATAAAGCGTTCAATAAGTACAGTTGTCCAAGAGGCAGTGAGTCACCATGGACTTCGAAGTTTTTATAATCACGCTAGATCTGCACAAACGTCAGTATTGTTTATAGAAACTTGGTCACTTTACAGCACGCGGGGGCTCTTGTAAAATCAGATACCGTATTAATGAAATCTCTAACATATTCATCTAGAAAAAAAATATTAAAATCATATATTTACAACATTAACGTATTATTTGTTTTCTTTGTATCGAGAAATACTCTAAGATTTACTGGCATGAATAGTGTTACAAGAGGCTGCCTTTGATGTACTTTCCAAAAATGTATTAATGTGAGTTCTGGACAAGCCCAAGTCTTATAGTAGGTTGTAGAGAGATTTCGCTGTTATACATCTTGCTCCCACTTCTACGGCGTACAAATCCACGACGAACCATTTTCGAGTGAGTTCGTTAGTGAGCTCGTAATATTTGTTGACCTTGATGGTATGGTCTTTGGGGATGTTGGTTTCCCAAGGAACTGTAAGCTCAATCATCTCTACGCGCTTTAGAATTAAATTCATTCATAAATACATTCATTCTAAATTATTTAAGACACATAAAATAAAGAACTTAGTTTGTGTTTTAACTGTTATTTTATAGGATTGAAAACTATTTGGTTCAGGCACCACCAATGATTTTATATGGTTAGTCGATTGGAAAGCAAATAATGGTTAAATAGAATGTTCTGAAGTGTAATGGACCTAGTGTCTAAAAATATTTACTTTAAATGAAGAAGAGATTTTCAAATTCAACCACACATACATATATACACATATAGATATCATCAGATCTTAGTTTGATCTTTGATATACATAATATGTTCGCACATAGTTCGATCGTTTATGAACCGAATTCGTTTATCTTTTTTTTCTTCAGAAACTGAATGTTAAAGTATTAAAAAAAAATAGGATCTGATGAAAGCAACCTACAGATATAAAGAGGAAACTTTACATAAATTCTGGAGTCTAACGTTTAACGGAGTTAATAACACTTGTTATGTACATATGTCATGTAGTTTTTAACTATCCATTCCTAGTAGCGGAAGATTTCCATTTGAGAATCATCTTTGATGAGTCTACCCATAAGTTAACAAAATAATAATTAAATTTGAATCTTGATAATGAAACTTCCCGCTTGGTAGTATCCAACGTGGTTTGTGAATGATAAAGTGGAAATGCTCTGTATTTGGTATAATGATGCAACTTTATGTTGAGGGTATGAGTTCAAGTAGACGAACAAGAAGCATATTTAATATAGAACCTATAGCTAATTCTGATTAGTTAAAGGAAATTGAAATAAAAAAATCCTGTCAGCTTTGTAATGAGAGTAAATACTCATGTTACGACCGACTCCGGTTGTGATGTTTGTAAGGCAACCGATTTGAAGACATTTCATATAGGTACACCTGCATATTTATTTTTAAAACTCGAATCAATAGATGGTTGTTCATGATTGGTATAATAATATTATTTTGAATCAATAAGTGAGGGCAAAGTTACTTTGTCTGTCTTGGGAAAGTGTGAAATGTCGGGTCGGGAGTTAATTTATTCTATCCTTTAAGTGGTATAGACCGAGAGACAACTGAATAACAATTGGTTTAACCAAACTAGTGGTTTTGTTCCATAAATGACTAAATAATGAGCTGTATGTATCCTTTTTGTACAAATACCTTACACTTCATCATGTCATTCCTTGATCAAGTTGTATAAATTGAAAATTAAAATGACAGAAAAAAGCAAGCAACAAGTACAAAGGCTACTTATATAAAATTATTACTAGTATTTTTGTCATAATTCGAATACATTTAGAGTTAAAGCATCAATTTTATAAATCCATATGGCAAAAAGAATATAAAAAAAGTTATAAAAATAAAGGAATAATACCTTAAAGTGTCTTCGTTTTTTTGCTTCCCAAAACGATTTATAAAACTGCTTATTGCCACATAGCAAAGATAAAAACTATGGACTTACCGATAAAACTACACAACGGTGACTTTTTATGATATCCTTAATTATATTACTTTACACTGTTTTGTTAAGTTTAGACATTAAAATAAGTTTTCAAAACAAATCATTA